ACGAAAAAAAAATATCTATGTACTTGTATCAGTTATCTAGTACCCATAACACAAGCTTTAGGTAGCTTAACTTAGGACTAGATGGCGCTGTGTGAATTGTACTGAGATAAAAAAAAAATCAATTTCTATGGCAAAACAGTAGCGGAGTCAGCTTGTTTACCATAATATTATTCGTGTTGTAACCCGAAAAACTATATTAATAATATATTTCACGACTGTTTACCCAGAGGGGATAGTCAGAGGCTTCGTTATGGCTGTATTACATTATAATATTAAATCAAAATATCTTTATACATAAAGGTCTATTATAGACTCTTATGATATGTCAAATCTACCGTCAAATCGGAATGATTTCGAGATGAGAAGAACTGACAAGAAACTCAGATCTTATTCTTCAATTGTGGAGAATGTAGTGTCGACCAGCGTATTCTATTGCATTTTTGTTACATATGTTTTTCTTCTATTAATTGAAATATGAATTTGCACATATGATTTTTGTTGTCGGCTAGATTTGAACAGCAAAAGTGTATCATGTAATAAGGTTTTGACCTCGAATTTATTTTATATACGTCATAACATATGTACACTGTATTCTGAAGATATTCTGTCGATTCAACAAAATGACCAATGCGACCTAGATGCTGTATAGTCATTTTGCTGCGTACCACAATAATCAGCAATGTCGTGACTGCAGAATCTATATTCTAAACTAGTTACCTGCCCAGGTTTTGCATGAGTATAGTAATATATTTTTTACATGTCGATTTTGTAATAAAAATCACTTAACGGTGATTCTCATGTTCCTTTCAGAGAGGTAGGCATATAGATTACATATTCTAAACTAGTTATCTGCCCAGGTTTTGCATGAGTATAGTAATATATTTTTTAAATGTCGATTTTGTAATAAAAATCATTTAAGGGTGATTCTCATGTTCCTTTCAGAGAGGTAGGCATATAGATTCCATATTCTAAACTAGTTACCTGCCCAGGTTTTGCATGAGTATAGTAATATATTTTTTAAATGTCGATTTTGTAATTTAAATCACTTAAGGTGATTCTCATGTTCCTTTCAGAGAGGTAGGCATATAGATTCCATATTCTAAACTAGTTACCTGCCCAGGTTTTGCATGAGTATAGTAATATTTTTATAAAATGTCGATTTTGTAATAAAAATCACTTAAGTGTGATGCGCATGTTCCTTTCAGAGAGGTAGGCATATAGATTCCATATTCTAAACTAGTTACCTGCCCAGGTTTTGCACGAGTATAGTAATATAATAATAATCTCAGGACAATTCAGACAGAGCCATCTAGACCCAAGTTAAGCTAGCTAGAGCTTGTGTTATGGGTACTAGGCTAGATAACTAATACATATAGAGATATTTTTTTTGTAAATACATAGAAAACACCCAGACCGATACAAACAATCATACTCATGAATACAAATGTTTGTGACGTGCGAGGAATCGAACCCGCGACCATCGGTCGTAAAGCGGTGTGCTTGACCCCCAGACCATCGAGGTCGTCATAAATTAAATATATTTTTTACATGTCGATTTTGTAATAAAAAATCACTTAAGGATGATTCTCATGTTCCTTTCAGAGAGGTAGGCATATAGATTCCATATTTTAAACTAGTTACCTGCCCAGGTTTTGCACGAGTATAGTAATATTTTTTTTAAATGTTGATTTTGTAATAAAAAATCACTTAGGGTGATTTTCGTTTTTTTAGTAGATAGGGTGATTCAAGAGGAAGGTTTATATATATGTATATATAATACATGTACACCCGAGCGACGCCGGGGCGAGTAGATAGTATTTTATAATGCTATTACTCTTCCTATTATTAAAATTTACAAGAGAAAGAGAATTTTATGGCTTGCAGAACTGCTTTCTGAGAGGTAGGGAATTGTTGGTAATAGGAACTGGAAGCTCCATTGTTAGCGTTTTTTTATGGATGATTATGGAATTGTCAAACGTAGTGTAGGACGCCCTGCAGCTAGGTGGAGCGACGACATACGTAGGGTTGCGGGTAAAAACTGGAAGAGAAGGGCTGAAGATCGGGCCCAGTAGCGTGCCTTGGGAAAGGCCTATGTCCAGCAGTGGACTGCAGTGGGCTGATGATGATGATGATGAAGGAATGCTAATAAATTGCTAGTGATTGAGTAATCAGTTCACAGTAGTAACAATCCCTTTCCCCATGTTAGCATTGCATTATGTCAGGTTGACCTCCACGTGGTCCCCTCTTAGAAACCATCCTACTCAATTACTCAATACCGGTGAATTCACCACGATTGGCTAATTGATCTAACGTCTAGACATTGCAGAGCTTGTGTTAAGGGTACTAGAGAGCTGATAGAAATATTTAAATTTATTATCTTTTATAAATACAAATATACACATAATAATCACCCAGATCGGTATAAATAATCGTACTAATGAATACAAATGTTTGTGCCTTTGGAGGAATCGAACCCGCGACCATCGGAAGTAAAGCGGTTTTCAAAACCGCTAAACCGTCGTTTTAAAACGTTAAGATATACAGTACAGTCTAATTCTTAATATAATAATATATAATATAATAATAATCTCAGGACAATTCACACAGCGCCATCTAGACCCAAGTTAAGCTAGCTAAAGCTTGTGTTATGGGTACTAGATAACTGATACATAAACATAGATATATTTTTGTAAATACATAGATATTGTACATAGAAAACACTCAAACCGATATAAACAATCATACTCATGAATACAAATGATTGCACCGTGCGAGGAATCGAACCCGCGACCATCAGTGATAAGGCGGTGTTCTACACCGCTAGACCACCGAGGCGTCTAAAGAAAGTAACATTCGTCTTAATAAGAAACATTCTTTTAGATAACAATCTCAATAAATATGAATTGCTATATTATTTTGTCGGAGTATATGTTAGGTATTATACAAGGTCAGATCGCTAATTAATAGTCGATTTGTATTCATTTTAAATATCACTTGCACAGCTCTAAAGTTATTTTTAAACCAATTTCCAGAGTCATGGCTTATTGGTTTAACTAGACGACTTCGACACTAAAGGTCGTTTGTTCGAATCTGGCTGATACCAAAAAAACTTTGCAGGGTATATTATATTATCTTATTAATATTATAAACGCGAAAATTTGTGACTATGGATGGATTTTTGTTACTCTTTCACGCAAAAACTACGGAACGGATTTTGATGAAACTTTACAGTTTAAGGGGGTCTTCCTATGTAATGGGTTGAAAAAATCGATTTTTTTTTTTTTCATAAATTGCTCCCTTAACATGTCTAGAATACGGTAGTAAAGCGATTTTAGAAAATTCGAAGTCGTTTTAAAGATACAGCAGGTAAAAGAAAGAGCGGTTCGGAGCGGTGAGTTGGCAGTTAGAGACCGGGCCTATTGTGTACCGTCACGTAGAAAAGAGGATGGGAACACGACTTCGGGCTGTTAAAAAGGATAAAACCAATAAAGGAATAGGAGGAAAAGGAGCAGGTAAACTTACTGATAAAGTTATCCAAGAAATTACAAAATTCTACGGATTAGCAATTCGACGCCATCCAGATTCGCTTGAAGATATGAGAAAGGAAGTTTGGGCAACGTACTATCACAAATGTTCTTCTGATGAAAACCCTCAGCATCAATTTTGTCCAGAAGGCGAAGACAGTTGGTGTAAATGGCGTAAGGCTGAAGCTAATAATGAACTGTACCAATTTCATCACGATAAACCACCTCTAATTCCGCAAGTCCAAGAAGCTATCAAACCGGTTTTCGAAGATTTATCGAAAGACGAATTATTAATTCGTTGTTTAGGAGCAGAGACACAAAACAATAACGAATCTTTGAATTCTTTGATTTGGACTTTCGCTCCTAAACATCTTCATTCTGGTCCCAAAGTTGTTGAAATTGCTAGCTACTTAGCAGTTATTATCTTTAATGAAGGTTTTCAAGGTATTTTAAAAGTTATGTCGATTATGGGATGCCCTGTTGGTCGTGAAGCCCAAGCGTATGTTGAGAAACGGGATGAAAAGCGAATCTTACGCTCTGAGCGGCGCGTAAGTGATGTCGTTAAACAAGCCAGGATTGACTCAAGAGCTGAACAATCTGCTTTAAAAGAGTTTCACGAGGAAGAGGAAGGAATACTCTATGGACCAGGCATCGCCGATTGAGAGTAAGTTGATATTTTAATAGTTTTTAACGGACTTGAAACTTTAAACGCGTTTTTCTCAAACCTGTGTTTTTCAAACTTTCCTCCATTGTATCTCAGAAACGGCTGGACCGAATTACTTGAAATTTACAGGGCACACTCAATATATGTAAACGCATGGAATGAACTATTATCAATCGAAAATTTTCAAAACTTCGATTTTTTTATAGCAAAAAAAAAAAAAAAAAAAAAAAACGCCTAATTTGCAACTTTTATTTCAAATGTCTATCAAAAATCCAATTTTTTTTATATTCATTTGATTATAGGTCATTCCGTGCTTTTAAGCCTACAAATTAAAACGCCGTTTTTTTTTTTTCAGATAAGCCGATCAGCCGGAATCGTGGAGGAAGTGGGAGCTCTTTTTTTCGAGGCGGGGGTGTTCAGAGCGCTGTAACTCTAGTTTGACTGAATATTTTTAGCTGAAATTTTATATTTATACTGTCCAAATATGTGTTAATAAATGATAAAAAACTTGAAGCTCTAAATATTTACTGGTCGTAGAAAAAAAATCCTAAAATATCCCTAAAAAACAGGCCGTCACATAGGAAGACCCCCTTAATTATTAGTTTCTTTAACTATGTTATTCTGATGTATAACTTATACATCAGAATAACATATAGGTATATATTAGTATTTTTTTAAATGCAGAAATGTAAAATTACAACAATGATTTAAAAGAGAAATATCCAAGTGGCTTTTGATGATATAGATTTCCGAATGAGCGATAGATAAAAAAAATAAATATGTCTAAATACTTATAACAATTATTTTTTCAGGAGGTCTAAAAGCAGGGGTGTCACATGCGGCGCGGGTCACCTACAGCGTGCTGTCTCGTCGCAAAGCCGCGGAAGAGGGCGCCGCTCGTCTCGCCAGGGTGCTCTCGGCTTTGGACCTCACGGCTCTGGGGGTCGGCAGCACCCTCGGCGTGGGGGTGTACGTATTAGCGGGGGATGTGGCGAAGAACTACGCCGGGCCCGCTGTCATACTGTCTTTCCTGCTGGCGGCGGTCGCCAGCGTGTTCGCTGGTGAGGAATGATGATTATTTATTTCAAATTCATATCGTTTTACTAAAGTTAGTAATTCGTTTTTGCAATTGCGTAAGGTTTTACAACAAAATACAAGAGTTTGTTATATCTCTGCCTGAAAATAGATTTAAATGTCAAATAAACATCCTTTGCAAAAAAGCTTACTATTAAATTGAAGAATTCGTTTAGAAAAACTTAAAATCCGGAGCACTGACAATATTATCTGATTACACTAATAATGAGTCCGTAGCGATTTCTGTGTTGATTATCGTATGCCTCTTGTTATACAGTAATTATTTACATAATATAAAAAAAACATCTATTCAAAATAGCAACACACAAGTTTCTTGTGATGAATCTGCATTCCAAATGAGTGGCAGAATCAAAATATGTCTATTCAAAAGTGCTTGTAATGAGTTTATTTGAATAAAAATTATTTCTATTTCTATTTCATGTAGGTCTATTACAGACTTTTATGATATGTCAAATCCACCATAGGTTCGGAATAATTTCGAGATGAGAACTGACAAGAAACTCAGCTTGTATTCTTTTCAAATTAATATTATACATATTTACAATAATACAGATTGACGCTGGCATAAATGACGTAAAAATAACGACCGATTGCCATAGAAGAAAAGAAGAAGAAGAAGAATTATTAAATTCAAACTTGGGAGAATAGTGTCCACCAGCATATGCTATTCCAAAAGCAAATAGTCTAATCAGTACTCGCAACTCAAACAGACCAGTCCCCACAAGCAGCACCCATTCACGAATATGACGGAGTAATATGATACAATGCTAGTGGTTTAGTATCTTATCGACTAATACTGTACAAATGTGCATAGTCTAATCAGTGCTCGCAACTCAAACAGACCAGTCCCCACAAGCAGCACCCGTTCACGAGTATGACGGAGTAATATGATACAATGCTAGTGGTTTAGTATATTTTCGACTAATACTGTACAAATGTGCATAGTCTAATCAGTGTTCGCAACTCAAACTGACCAGTCCCCACAAGCAGCACCCGTTCACGAGTATGACGGAGTAATATGATACAATGCTAGTGGTTTAGTATATTTTCGACTAATACTGTACAAATGTGCATAGTCTAATCAGTGCTCGCAACTCAAACAGACCAGTCCCCACAAGCAGCACCCGTTCACGAGTATGACGGAGTAATATGATACAATGCTAGTGATTTAGTATCTTTTCGACTAATACTGTACAAATGTGCATAGTCTAATCAGTGCTCGCAACTCAAACAGACCAGGCCCCACAAACAGCACCCGTTCACGAGTATGACGGAGTAATATGATACAGTACTATTGAATAATTAATACTGAATAAATGAGCATACATTGTTCCAGGTCTATGTTACGCTGAATTCGGTGCCAGGGTGCCAAAAGCCGGCTCAGCATACGTGTACAGTTATGTCTGCGTGGGGGAATTTATAGCGTTTCTAATTGGATGGAATTTGATATTAGAATATATTATAGGTAAGTTATCTAAAAAATATATTATATATAATAATAATAATAATAATAAAGACATTTATTCAGCATTACAGTATTCTTAGATGCTATCTATCTTATATACTATACAATTTAAAAGCTAAAAGCTAAAACATACTAGTAACGCTGAATGTGACTCCCACTCAGCATTTATACTGCAGTATATATATACCACAGTGCTGATTTTCAGTGGGGCCACCACACACGAGAGAGCGTACGTAAAGATTACTAAAGAAAATAAAACGTTAAAATTAAGACCATTTTATAAATAGGTATGAAAATGTATGTAAAGATAAATGCAATTTTAATTAATGTATGTATTTAGTATATTCTGTATATTATTTAAGTAGGTATATTGCTATGTAATGAGATATTTATTATAATAAAATTTATTAATAATATTTAAATATATAACGTACATAAATGGTGTAGTTGGTACATGTTTTAGATGCTTATTATATTATATGTGTTCCCTGCTACAATGATTTTTGTTCTTTAAAGAGGTGAGTGAATAATTTATGTTTGAAAGAACTAACTGTCACTGAATTAAGGATAGGAGGAGGCAGATTATTCCAGCACTTAGTGGCAGAGTATTTAAAACTACCACGAAATGCTGTGGTGTTAAATTGGGGATATATTAATCGAGAACAAGTTTGACCAAAATTACGATTAGAAAATCGAAGTTTATCAAATAAGTAAGAAGGCTTTTGATGTTTAATTATTCCAAATAACAACGTAGCGAAGTGTAGCTTGTTCCGTCTATCCATTTTTAACCAATTAGTTTGATTTATAAATGGAGTAACATGTCCTCGAAATGGTATGGAAAAACAAAACCTAGCACAAGCATTCTGTACTCTCTGTATCAGGTTTTTAGTACGGACCAATGTACATTGTCCATAAACAGCATCAGCGTAATTGAATTTGGATAATATCAAAGAATCACAGAGTGTCTTACGCAGATCTTCACAAACAAAGTTACGTACACGATATAGCACTTTTAATCTATAAAAACAATTACGCACTGTCTGCAATATATGATTTTCAAAACGAAGGGTTCCATCGAAAATTACACCTAGATTACGAGCTTCATTCGTTTGTTGTAGAGGAATCCCTCCTATCGATACTGTGGGCTTATAAGACGTGATCTGCTTAATTTGATTTTTACTGCCTAGCAACATAAATTTTGATTTAGCTGGATTTAATGTAAGATTATTGAGTTTCGCCCATTCAATTATTCTATTCAGATCTTTATTTAACTTATACGTAGCTGAATGTGTTTCTGTAGGTTTAAATGTAATGTATAACTGCAGATCGTCTGCGTATAAGTGATAACTGCAATGTTTAATACAATTAATTATGTCGGCGGAGTATAATATAAATAATATAGGTCCTAAAATTGACCCCTGAGGAACCCCTCTTCTCACGGGGGAAGCCGATGATGTTACTGGTAAACCTACTACACTACGCAGCTCTATCACTTGAAACCTGTCACTTAGATAACTTGAAATCCATTTTACAGCTTTGCTATCAAAGCCGTAAAATGATAACTTTGCTAATAATAAGGAAATATTTATTGTATCAAAAGCACGGGAAAAATCCAACAAAGTTAAAATAGAACCCATACCCTTATCTTGCCCTGTCAATATATCATCCACCACATGTACAAGAGCTGTTGTAGTGCTACGACCCTTCCTGAATCCGGACTGTAATGCAGGTAATATGTGGTTAGCTTCCAAATAGTCTCTTATTTGTAAGCATATCGCTTTTTCTACTATTTTCGATAAGCAAGCTAAGATATTAATCGGTCTTAAGTCGTTTACATCAAGAGGGTTTGTAATCTTGGGTATAGGCTTAATCAACGCGGTCTTCCATGCATCAGGAAAGGTACAAGTTTCAATAGATAAATTAACTATTGTGGTAATAAAATAAAGTGTGCGTGGTAGTGTTAACAAAATCATATCCAATGAAATATTATCACTCCCAGTAGCATTAGTTTTGAGTAATTTGATAATGTTTATTACAGTGTTTTGATCAACTGTTTTGAATTTAAAATTTGAAGAGTTATATTTATTAGAAGAATAATATAATAAATTAGATAAATTGGCGTGTTCTTCTCCTGGCAAATCAAGAAAATGTTTATTTATTAGATTCGGATCATTTATATGAGATGGAATATCTAATTGTTTTTTATTAAAGTTAGCAACCGTTTTTTTTAGGGTTTTCCATAGCTTTTTAGGGTTCTTAAGATTGTTATTAATATTTTGTTTAAAATATGCACGTTTCTCATTACGTAGAGCTCGTTCAACAATTACTTTTAGTTCTTTGTAATATTTTTTATGCACTGTGCTTTTCGTTTTATGGTATTTCCTATAGGCTTTATCGCGCAAAATCATCATTTCCTTGATAGTATGTGTAATCCAAGGGTAATTATTCTCCTTAACATAAATAATTTTTTTGGGCGCAAAGTAATCAAATAATTGTATAACTTGATTATTGAATTTTTCCACTGTATCATTTATGTCGTTACTTAAATATGATTCCCAATTAATTAAATTAACAGCAACATTAAATTCTTCTAAATTTATATTTTTAATGGGTCTATATTGTACATAATTAGATTTTAACTTGTCTTTTTTAATATTGAAAGTACATTTAACAAAAGCATGGCTACTAAGATTGTGAATATAATCCACAGAAGATTCTTTTAGTTGGATGTTTGAACAAATTATATCAATCAATGTAGAACTATTTTCTGTGAAATGCGTCGGTTCTTTTATATGTTGGATTAAATCCATGTACTTTATAAATTTTAATAGTTTATCAGTTTGACGATCTTGAGTGGCTAACAGGTTAATATTAAAGTCACCTAACAATATAACATGTTCAAAACATCCCAAGGTAGCCAACGAATCTGTGAGTGCATCTAAAAATGTATCAACATCTAACCAGGGTGGACGATATGCAGTACCGATAGCAATTTTTTTTGAATTAATATGAACACTGTGTCAATTGACGAATATTCAGACCACGACGTGTATAAAAGCCGACTCCACCACCCCGTGAACGGACATGTGCGGGTCGAGGAATGTGATGTAGCTGATAGCCTGGGACTGTAGGAGCGCGTTCTTCCTCTCCCGCTCTGAGCCATGTTTCATTAATGGCCATAATATCCACGTTATGACGTGACATTGCAGAAAGAAATTCATCATGTTTTGTACCAAGGGAACATGGGTTTAAGAGGCCGATAGAAAAATTTTCCCTTTTAATTTGAAATTTCATTATATAGGAATATAACACTAACAAATTTTTATTGTTTAGCAAAAATAATGTTAAAAGAGTTATGTGTCTGTAGGTATAAACTGATATAGACTTGACTACTATTGTATATTGTAGTGTGCTATAACGTATCTTTGTGAGTTGTGTAAAAATACAAAACATATCACTATAATTACAAATCAGTCTGTGTATATAATATATATTCAAATGTATAGTATATATGTATTTGTTTGTGCCAATATACACAAAGTAATATATTACTGTATTTGTATTTATCATAAGCAAAAACAAAATTTCTTTAAGTACCTTATATAAATATATAGAAATTATATACAAGAAAGTATATGTATCTAACGAATTAATAATATATACTGAGTTCTCATATAAAATATTCCACATAATGGTGACCCCGCTGAATACAACAACGGATTTAAGCAATAACACAACTACATACTCATTAACATAATATATTAACATGAAAATATGTACACATACAGTATAATAAAAGTAAGAAAACAAAAACAATACATTAACTCTGAACAAAACAAAAAATAAGAAAATTAGAAATAACATTGTAATAGTAATTTCAAACACAACCAACATGATCATTATTAAAAACCCTATCGAGGTCTAAGGTAGTACGAAATCTTATGGCCGGACCTCCCACATGTTGCCGTGCGAAAAGCTTTCCATTTCGTGTCCACGAAAATTTCCAGTTGTATTGTTTACATGCCTCTCTAACTTTATAAAATAACTGCTTGTTTTCACGAGTGAGCCGTTCATTAATATAAAACTTGCATGGGGCACTCGAGAGATCAAGGCCACTTGTATCCAGTCCACGTCGCACGCGAGCCGCATGCAGCAGCTCCTCCCGCAGCTGTCGGCGCGTTAAGCGCACCACTAAGGAGCGCGGCCGTGCTCTGGCGTTCGCCTCATCTGCAGAGCTCGATGTTTTATGATTACTATAATAGTATTGGCCAAAACGATTTGCACTTACCACATCTCCCTCATTAATATCCACACCAAGTTTTTTGGCAGCCAGCACTGCTAAATGTACTGCTAAATATATACAGTGGACCCGCGGTAATCCGGCCCCCCTGTAATCCCACATTGTATATTATTTGTTATTGAATATTACTTTGACAATATACTTCAGAGTGCATATACATACATACATATATAACATAGAATCTTATCACTGGATCTGTAATTTGTCGGATTACAAGATAATCTTTTGTAAATTCCGGACTATAAGCAGAGGACCCTTAAGCAGCACTATAATCCGACAAATACGATGGTCCGACACTGCCCTGCAAAACGTTTGTCGGATAACCGGGTGTCCACTGTATATGTATATAATATAAAGAATCATCATTGGATCTATAATTTGTCGGATTACAAGGTACTCTTATGTAAAAAAATTCGGACTATAGAGGACGATTGGGACTATTGTTACTTTTTGTTTGCTTCAAAATCCGTTGCGTAATTTTAAAGATTTAAGCATACATAGGGACAGACAGCGACAGCGACTTTGTTTTATAGTATGTAATGATTATTTATTTATACTCAAGGTGCTGCGTCGGTAGTGAAGGCACTCAGTGAATATCTGGACTCGTTGTTCAATAAGGCGATCTCGTCGTACCTACAAGCGGCGATGCCTATGGACTCGCCGCACTTGGCCAGCTACCCCGATTTGTTTGCCTTCGCCGTCATCATGGTATTCTCTGGTAAGCCATTGTACTAATATTATAAACGTCGAAGTGTGTGAACAAAAAATATGTTTACTATGTATATTATGTACTAGCTGTACACGCGACTTCGTCCGCGTGGAATATAACTTTCTATTTCTAAAATAAAAGTAGCCTAAGTTACTCCTTATTACATCAGCTACCTGCCAAAAAAAAAGTCCCGTCAATAACCGTTCAGCTGTTTCAGAGATTAGCCGCAACAAACAGACCGACAGACAGACACTCAAATTTTCTTTATATGTATAGATGTATAGATATATTTACAAAAAATCCATGTATATCAGCTGTCCCATAACACAAACTCAGCTAACTCGATGACTAGATTGACTATAGACTAGATGGAGCTGTGTGAATTGTCCAGGGGAAAAAATTGTATACATTTCATAATTGTATATTTTCAGTGGCCCTCGCATTTGGCGTGAAAGAGTCGTCGAAATTCAACAATTTCTGTACGGGCGTGAATCTGTGTGTAGTGTTGTTTGTCATCATATCGGGATCGTTTAAAGGTAAGTGGTCGTTTATATACATTACCAACACACTTGCCCGTAAAATAATCTAATTTTACTGGTTCTAGATGTATAAAGGAGCTCATAAAACACACGTGCGTTATGAACGCAAATCTATATTAATAATTCCGCCAAGAGGTACGTCCAAGTATTAACTTTAGGAATGGTTTAAACCTCGACCATTTAGACCACGTTTCGTCCGAGTTTTAACAGATTTTTTGTAATAAGACCGTATGTGAATAACAAAACATAAATAAATATTGATTTCGAGTCGACAACATATGTCCGCAAAATTCGGATTATGGAGTATTTAGTTAAATTCTAATGACACTGACAAACAAACCGCAGTCGCCATCTTTTCATTTCACGGGCATTTTTTTCGGTCGTTGACGTTTCGAGAAATTGTTTTTGACACTTTTTTATGATAAAAGAGTATGTGTTTTTTCTTTAAACCTGAAATTGACCGATTGCGAGACAAATTTGCCAGTTTTTTTTTATTAATTTGTTTTACGATCTGGATACAAGCCAATTTTAGCCTAACTTAAAGTTTTACAAAAAAAGAAAAATTATTTATTTAAAAACTTTTGCACTTTTTATTTACTATATTTATTAAACACAATGAAAGAAGCTTTACAAATCTATGCCTTGCTTACTTTTAATATTCCATGAGAACCGATGACTACAGAAATATCCACCCACATTTCACCCGAGCGAAGCCGGGTTTTCATCTAGTATAATATAATATTTTATATTATACTAGATACATACATTACATATACATACATTTACATTTTAATTTACTGTAGTTCTACACTAGGCTCGCAGGCCTGTATTGTAGAGACTGGAGTGACTTATTATTGTGTACATTTTACATGTTTACCCTTTGTATTAATAGCTATTTGAAAAATGGAACTTATAAATAACTTAAAAATACTGAAGTTACATTCCCTAACCGCAGTACTTGCCATTTTTTTATCAAATTTCGAACTGACTACTATGATAGGGAGTAAATAACGAGATGACTGCGTTTTTCGCAGTCATCTCGTTATTTACTCCCTCTTTATATTACGCCGACCCCAAATAAATGGGATAAGGAAGAAGCAGATGATGATACTGCGCGGCGCCAGCCAGTAGGAAGCGTGCCGATTTAAAAAAGTAAAATGGCGGGAAATGCTTATCACTTTAATAATTATACTTCTACTAACTGTTTTAATAATTGAAAATCAACAATATATAATGATTTTTTTATGGTGTTCCCTCGCAAGTGTGTTGAAAAATCAACGTACGATACATGTGTGTATTTAACATACTCGGCTCTATTACGCCCATGCTTAGGGTAGGGCCGTCCTTCACCTATTAGAGGCTCATTGGCATGGCACATTAGGATAATGGCTCCATTATCCTAATGTGCCAAGAGCATGGTCATGATTTTCATAGGGGCTCCCCAATGAACATAGTAATAAAGCACTATTTTGTTAGAACAGACAGTCATTTTTTAACATGACTGTATACGGATGCCCTGCGTAGTTTTAAATATTTAAGCATATATAGGGATAGACAGACAGCGACAGCGACTTTGTTTTATACTTTATAATTAGCTACTCGCCCCGGCTTCGCACGGGTGTACATGGGGCCGTTCAAGTATTACGTAAGCACTATAGGGGGCGGGGGTATTTTCTTTGCTTATTTTGGATGACATGGGGGTGGGGGAGTCTGTATGATGATTACGTCATCGGTCGTAATTTACTTTTTTACACGAATGGCAACCCTCACATTGTCTTTGCTAAAAAAAACAATACATTAATTAAGAAATGTTTACGTAAGCATGGGTGGAGGGGGTAAGCTTAAGCTTTGCTTACTTTTGCTGACAAGGGGGATGGGGGGTAAATAATTCTGATAAATCTGCTTACGTAATACTAGAACAGCCCCCATGTATTATATATATTAACCTTCCTCTTGAATCACTCTATCTATTAAAATAAACCACATAAAAAGTTGCGGAGTTTAAAAATTTAAGCATATATATATATATATATAAATATCCCCTTGGGCACTTTGTGGCTCAGACGTGCCGTATAGGTAGTTTTTTGTTGATCCTTTTTCACTTGTTGATCCGGAGGCCTTTTGTTGATCTAATGCCAGATGTCCATATATAAATGTTGATCCGTTTTGAGCCACAACTGTCACGACGAGTAATAATAATAATTAAGCGATTTATACACGATTTTATACAAATCCACCTTTTTGGCATACGAGCAGTTCTTGATCCAATTCAAACGGGCCAATCAGGGTGCAGCATTTGCCAAGGGCTTCCTCATTGGCACGTTTGGGCTACTACATTATGGCTACAGTAACTTAATAATGTCTAGCTAGTATTTCAAAAATAATAGTCTACCTAATCTAAATATTTATAGAAATCAGTCTGGAGTAACGTGACTCCAGATCAAACCTCAATACTTGTTATTTTTTGGATGGGAATCTTTTCTTTTGTAACAACGTTACTGAGCGAATAAAGAGAAGACGCAACGGCGGATCCAGGGGGTAGCGTCATGGAGGTCATGGGAGTCATGGGGGCGTCATGACTCTCCCCCCCCCTTAGCCCAGAACTTAGGTAGACCACTAATTGAACTAAAAAATAATGAAACAGCAAATTTTTTTGCACGATCGGAGTGTTGGTGCAGTAGTATTAATTATAATTAAACATTGTTACTTAAAACATAACAGTTAAAGTACTATAACACTAAAAGCAAAATAGGTATTTTCAAAATACTTTTTCAAAATAAATTACCCTTTGAGTTTTTGTTCAAACCTCAGATATTATATTTATTTTAGGTATATCAATCAATACATAGTATAGCATAGTACAGTCTGTCTGTCTGTCTGTTTGTTCCGGCTAATCTCTGAAATAGCTGGACCGATTTTGACGGGACTTTTTTTTGGCAAGTAGCTGATGTAATAAGGAGTAACTTACGCTACTGTTATTTTAGAAAAATAAAATAAAATTTCACGCGGACGAAGTCGCTGGGGCCAGCTAGTCTATAGATATACCGAGATTTAATGTTTAAGTTGCTATTATGTTATTGACAAAATTTTACTGTAATGTTACTATTACGTTATCCTACACAATTTGTATTATTTTGGATGAATAAATAAATAAATAAATAAATAATAATCTATACATCTATACATTTAATAAAAATTGGAGTGTCTGTTTGTAATATTAAAAAAACCGTTTTTTACTACATGCATATGAATATATATAAGGTACATATACCAAAATAACTATTTTTATAATTTTAGTCTGTCTGTCTGTCTGTCTGTTTGTTCCGGCTAATCTCTGAAATGGCTGGACCGATTTTGACGGTACTTTTTTTTGGCAGGTAGCTGATTTATAAGGAGTAACTTAGGTTACTTTTATTTTAGAAAAATAAAGTTAAATTCCACGCGGACGAAGTCGCGGGAACACCTTGTTTTTAATAAAAACATCTTTTTTGTGGTACTTGAGAATGTTGAAGCCTGTTGTTTGTAATATTGAAATAACCGTTTTTTACTACTTGCATATGAATATAAATACGGTACATACACCAAAATAACATATTTTACAATTTTTGTCTGTCTGTCTGTTTGTTCCGGCTAATCTCTGAAATGGCTGGACCGATTTTGACGGGACTTTTTTTGGCAGGTAGCTGATGTAATAAGGAGTAACTTAGGCTACTTTTATTTTAGAAAATAAAGTTAAAAACCACGTGGACGAAGTCGCGGGAACAGCTAGTGTATAATATATTAGAGATACCTACGTGTTTTTTTATTGATGACTAGCTGTACACGGGATTTCGTCCGTGTTGAATTTAACTTTATTTTTCTAAAATATAAGAAGTTAAATTCCACGCGGACGAAGTCGCGTGTACAGCTAGTTGTCGGTAGTCTAGCGATTTATCTAGCACACCGCTTTGATTCCTGCTTGGTGGTCGAGGGTTCGATTCCTCGGACGCTGCAAACATTTGTATTCATGAGTATGATTGTTTGTAACGGTCTGGGTGTTTTCTATGTATAGATAATATATATGTATTTACGAAAAAAAACTTTGTATTTATATCAGTTGTCTAGTACCCATAAAATAATCTTCAGCTAGCTTAACTTGGGTCTAGATGAAGCTGTGTGAATTGTCCTGAGATTACTATTATTACTATAATAAATCTTTTCAAATCAGCCGATGTTTATTTTTGCCATAATACGTGCTGTTACCATGTGATAATATTACGTACGTACTTATTACTGTTTTAAATGTGATGCGTTCATTATTTATATTTCCTTTGAATTAAAGACAAATGTAAGTATATATATATATACTTACATTTGCACACTTAGTTGATCCAGCCACGATCCGTAGATATTGCTGATTCCACTGTCTCTCTCTTTCTACCACTATAACGGTAGCGTGGCGGAACGGCAACATGTTGCCGTTCCGCGTTCTACCACTATCTTTGTATTCTAATATGCGATGTTGCCGTTCCGACCGAGACCATGCGTTGTTGCCAAATGTATTCGTCGATAGTAGTAGATACTTATACTCGATATATATTTTTTCAACAATTTCCTGCAATAGTGAATCCTTATCGGCATTTTTTTTAAATGCACAAAGATTTTTTGGCTCTGAATATATTTAAAAATCATTTACTTGTGTGTTGATGAATTTATATACTAGTACATGAAGTACCTAATACTTGTTTTGATTTGAATAGGTAGCGATATTATGAATTTATTATACGTAATCTAAAGATTTTGACGAAATAAAAGTAATTAGTTATCTGTTAACCTTGACTTCATGCTGGCACCAGTATTATCAGATGATGAACATACTCTTCGAAAACTTACAGCAGAAATATCGTGTTTGGACTCATTAGATAGGTCTCGATGAATAGAGTTTAAAAAACTTAAAATAAATGGTACATTAGAAATAATGTATAAAAACCCCTTACGTAAAATTCAACCACTTTAAA